CCACCCATCCATCCACCATCCGTCTACCATCCAACCACCCACCCACCCATCCATCCATCCACCCACCCATCCACCCATCCACCCACCCATCCATCCATCCACCATCCGTCTACCATCCGACCACCCACCCAACCATCCACCATCCATCCATCCATCCATCCACCATCCATCTACCATCTGCCCACCCATCTATCCACCCATCCACCATCCATCCATCCATCCATCCACCCACCATCCACCTATTTATCCATCCATTCTCCCTCCCTCCATTTACCACCCATTGGTCATATGATACTCTGTCTAGAAGCTCTGACACGACATCTTGGCCACTTCTGTGCTGCCTGTGCCTCCTACCTGTGGTAGCATCCATGTGGCTGATTCCTTAGCTAAATTCTGCACAAACCTGAGAGGCCTGAGTGGAGCATCTACCACATGCCAAGCCCCTGCTGGCAGATGCTGGTGAGCAGGTCATGGTCTTGTGGTATCAGTGAATGAGCAGCGACTGTCCTATCCCAGAACCTGCCTGGTGTGCTCAGGTTGACGTGAGGAGGGATGCGGTTTTCCCCCAGGATCCCTCAGCACTCTGTTCAGGGCAGCTGTTTCTCCCCACTGACCACAGCTGCAGCTCCAGGGCTGTGGTGTGGCGGGGCCTGCCTGGCACCTCCTGTCCTTTCTACTCACCCCTCTTTCCCTGCAGTTTGGGGAGCGCTTTGAGTTCGACTGCAAGAACTGTGTCTGCCTGGAGGGTGGAAGTGGCATCGTCTGCCAGACCAAGAGGTGCAGCCAGAAGCCTGTTACCCACTGTGTGGAAGACGGCACCTACCTCGCCACGGAGGTCAACCCTGCCGACACCTGCTGCAACATTACCGTCTGCAGTAAGGCCATCCCCTGGGGCCCGCACCACCTCTCGGAGGTGCACACATCCCTGTAGGCCGGGCTGCCTGCTGTCCCCTCTGTGGCAAGTGGGGAAACAGCTGGCTTGGGGGCCTCCGATGTGCCCCTTGAGAGGGCTTGGGAGGGGGCCGCTGGGCACAGTCCAGGCCTCCCTGCTGCAGGGCCTGACCTGGGTGGGAGGGGACCCTTGGTGGTGCTGGGGGCCTGACCCTGTGCAGTGGCCCCGGGGGCTTTGCCTGTGAGGAGCCACCCTCATGGCTGCATGCCCACCCTGTCTTCAGAGTGCAACACCAGCCTGTGCAAAGAGAAGCCCCCAGAGTGCCCGCTGGGATTTGAAGCAAAGAGCAAGATGGTGCCTGGCAGGTGCTGCCCCTTCTACTGGTGTGGTAAGCAGGGCTGGTGGGCGGGGCAGGGGGAGGCTGCCGCCCGGGGTGGGGTGGCTGTGGGGGATGGGCTTTCTCCTAGGGGCCTCAGATTCTGGGGACACAGATGGCTGCATGCTTGGTTGATGCACCCACCCCAGCCTTGAGCGCCCACTGGGTGTGCACTGGGAGTGGGGGTCTGGCCAGGTGGCCATCCCGGGGCAGTCTCCAACGAACGGCGTTCTCCGTTCTTTCTCCCAAGAGTCCAAGGGGGTGTGCGTTCACGAGAATGCTGAGTACCAGGTGAGCCCTGGGCTGGGTGAGGGAGGAGGAGGGGAGGAGGGGAGGAGGTTGGCTGCAGTGTGGGGGTCCTGGCAGGCTCTTGGGCTGGCTGGGGTGCTGGAGAAGCCCCTGCCTCACGTCTCTCCCTATGCCCGAAGCCCGGTTCTCCAGTTTATTCCTCCAAGTGCCAGGACTGCGTGTGCACGGACAAAGTGGACAACAGCACCCTGCTCAACACCATCACCTGCACCCATGTGCCCTGCAGCACCTCCTGCAGCCCAGTAAGCGGCTGCCCCAGCCCTGGTTCCCCACCTCAGCCTGCCCTTTTCCCTCCTCCCAGACAAGTACCCGGGCCCATGTCTGCGTCATGACACTTTCTTTCCTCCTTTCAATGCCAACCTCTCCCTGTTCCCACCTCTCCGTCCTGACACCTGCCCAGCTTGGGGCCTCCTCCAGGTGGGGGTTGTCGGCAGTCCTGCAGGCTCTGTGAGGTGTGGGGTACAGCCTGGGAGTTCCGCTGCAGTGGCGTGTCTGTGTGCGCAGGGCTTTGAACTCGTGGAGGCCCCCGGGGAATGCTGCAAGAAGTGTGAACAGACGCACTGTATCCTCAAGCAGCCTGACAACCAGCACGTCATCCTGAAGGTGTGTGCTGCTGGCCCTGGCATGGCCGGGGTTGCTTGAGCCCAGGGCAAGGCACAGGCCACCCAGGATCCCCCAGCTGAGTCCTCCCAGTCCTGGACACAGCTGTGATGGGCGTCCTAGGGCTGCCATGACAAATGAGCAGGCGTCTTCAGGGCAGAAAGGGTTCTCCTGGTTCTGGGGCCCAGAAATCCCAGAGCAAAGGGCCTCAGGGCTGTGCTCCCTCAGAGGCTCTACGCAAGGACCTTTCCCAGCCTCTGGTTCCTCCAGGTGCCCTTGGCTGTGGCCATGAGGTTTCCTTCCCTGTGTCTGTCTCTCCTCTCCCTTGTAAGGATTTAGGGCCCCCCAGCAGGATGATCTCATCTTAGGATGTTTCATTTAATGACACCTTCAAAGATCCCTTTTCCAAGGCAGGTCGCGTTCATAGATTGAGTTACAACACAGACAGATCTTTGAGGGTTGTGTGGGCTCCAGACTGGTGCCTGATGTGGGGTCCCACCCGTGTCGCTTGTCCTGTGGCCCTGGGCCTTGCCAGGAAGCCTCCCCAGCCACGTGTCTCCAGGGTGTCTTCCTGGCTGGGCTGGGGCTGGGCCTGCTGCCCTCCCTCACCAGAGCTCCCTGCCCCACAGCCTGGGGACTTCAAGAGCGACCCCAAGAACAACTGCACATTCTTCAGCTGCGTGAAGATCCACAACCAGCTCATCTCGTCCATCTCCAACATCACCTGCCCCAACTTTGACGCCAGCATTTGTGTCCCGGTGAGTGGGCCACCTGGGGCCTGGCTGTGGGTGCTCAGCCGGGAGTGGGGGCGCCTGGTGTTCTGAGGGTCTGGGGCCCCAGTGCTGTGACAGTGGCCTCGGGCCTGGTCTGAGCTGCCACAGGAGGCTTTGCCTGGGGCTTTCTGCAGCAGCTACTCCCGCCCATGGCATGGGAGGAAGGTGCTGTCATCCCCAGGAATGTCCGGGGGTCCCGGGCTCATTCTCCTTTCCCTCCAGGGCTCCATCACACTCATGCCCAATGGATGCTGCAAGACCTGTGAGTACAGGGCATAGCCTGGGGGGTGGGCAGGGTTGGGGCACAAGGGCTGGTGCCCTCAGCCCTGCCTGGGGTGGCTGGAGGATGGACAATGGCCTCCGGGTGGGCAGTGAGGGCTGGGGGCTGAGGCCAAGCCTGGGGAAGGGACGTAGCGAGGGAGAGCCTCCCTCTCCCCTCAAAGATGTGGAGGCCCTGCCCCGAGCCGCTGCCCCCTCTCCCCAGGCATCCCTCGCAATGAGACCAGGGTGCCCTGCTCCACCGTCCCCGTCATCACGGAGGTTTCGTACGCTGGCTGCACCAAGACCGTCCTCATGAATCATTGCTCCGGGTCCTGCGGGACATTTGCCATGTGAGTTCCAGGCTGGGAGTGTGCCTGGAGGGGATGGTGGGGGCCCCATAGAGGCGAGAGGCCAGCGCTGGCCCTGGGAGGTCGCCCCTCACTCCGCCCTCCCCGCAGGTACTCGGCCAGGGCCCAGTCCCTGGACCACAGGTGCTCCTGCTGCAGAGAAGAGAAAACCAGCCAGCGTGAGGTGGTCCTGAGCTGCCCCAATGGTGGCTCGCTGGCACACACCTACACGCACATTGAGAGCTGCCAGTGCCAGGACACCATCTGCGAGTTGCCCACCGACACCTCCCGCCGGGCCCGGCGCTCCCCCAGGCATCTGGGGAGTGGGTGAACTGGGTGGGCACAGCCACCCTTCACTGCCCTCCACAGCTCTGCCTCCCCCGGACCCTCTGAGCTTCCTGGCCTCCTAAGCTTGGCTTCCTCTCTTCAGATATTTATTGTCTGAGTCTTTGTTCAGTCTTTGCTTTCCAATAATAAACTCAGGCAGACACACCGCACTGTGTGGTTTAGGTTGGTGCTGCAGGGGTGTGGCTTGGCCACTGTGCATGGCGGAGGCCTGGCCACTGGGCTTTGCACACAGGACATGGGGACACCACACACACGCCACGTGGTTGGCACATCCCTCGTACCAAATGCAGGGGGCATGTGGAGGCTGCCTGCCCTCCACTCCCGGTTCTCACCCTGGGCAAAACCCCCATGGGGCCGTGGAAACGCGGTCAGATTCCCTGGTAGGAATCCCCCCAGCCCTGAATCTGTGAGAAGAGCCCTGGGTTCCGTCACAGCCATTTCCCAGGCTTGCCACGGTTGGTGGGGACTTTGTGTAGCCCCGAGGGTCAGGTGGCCCTGGGGTGTGTGTGTGTGTGTGTGTGTGTGTGTGTGTGTGTAGCCCCGACAGGTAGCCCTGGGGAGGGTGTGTGTGTGTGTGTGTGTGTGTGTGTAGCCACGAGGGTCAGGTGGCCCTGAGGAGAGGGTGTGGGTGTGTGTGTGCGAGCATTTGCTTGTGTGCACACGTGTCTGCATGTGCCATGTGTATGTGAATTGCACCTCGCCCTGGGTCTCTACACTGGGAAAATGGAGAAGGTCTTAGTCCTCAGGTCACTGTAAGCTCCTGCTGCAAAGTGACAAAAGGCAACTGGGACCTGGTGGCCCCGTCAGGGCTTTGGGGAGCTGCCAGGCAGAGCTGCCAACGCCTTCAAACCTGCAGAAGTTCTGGTTGGCTCTGTGGACCCAGCCAGACAGGGGGCACTGGGTGTGGACCCTGGGCACAATGCCCACTCGTGTTGGAGAGCTGAGCCCCCGGCCTTCTAGGTGGAGCCCACGGAGGCTGCTGGGGCCAGAGCAGGTGCTTGTGTAGTTCAGAGAGGAGTCTGGTGTCTCCTGTCAAAGGCAGGTGTGTGCGGGGAGGCCGAGGCCCGTGAGCACAGTGATCCAACCTCAAGCATCCTCTGAGGTCAAAGGGGAGGACATTTGTCCCCAGACCGCAAGGCTGTGCCACACCCTTTACATGTGTAAAAACCCTCAGGAGGGCAGACACCTGGGCTGGGCTCCGCACTTCCAAAGCCAGGGTGCAACCGGTCCCCAGGGCGTGACAGGTCCCCAGGGCGCGACAGGTCCCTGGGTGCAATGGGTCCCACCCCCTGCTGTCCTACCTCCCAAGTAGCTGTACAGGCATGTGGCACCATGACTGGCTAATTTTTAAGAACTTGCTTTTTGTTCTTATCTTTCAAAACAATCCTATGTTTTACTAAAGTAACATGCACTTGATTTTTGAATAGTTTTGTTTGTTTTGTAGAGACAGGGTCTCACTATGTTGCTCAGGCTGGTCTCAAACTCCTTCCTGGGTTCAAGCGATCCTCCCACCTCAGCCTCCCAAAGTACCAGGATTACAAGCATGAACCACTGAGCCTGGCTCCTGGCGGGGGACTGAGGCCACTGCCCTCCCCTAGCTGCTGCCTCCCATCTGACCCCAGGGAGGGCAGTGGTTGAGGGCCGGAGTTGAGCAGCAGCCCTATGGGGTCCGAAGCCAGTTGGGATATCCCAGCTCATCAGCGCCACCCAGGGTCCTGGGGCCCGCTCAGGCCTGGGGCCTTTCCACTTCCCCGCTTGGCTCAGCAGAGCCCCCAGAAGGACCTGCTCATCCCCTCTGGTGGCCCCAGGAGCCCACACTGTCTAGGCCTAGGGACCTCCTGGGCAGTCAGTTGGCCTGGGCCTGCCATGGAGCCCCTGAGGCCACCCCAGCGCCTCTGGCATAGCCACGTGGGGATTCTGGGGGCTTCAGAACTGGCCCTTCCATGAAGCGGTTAGCATGACCCCCAGAGCCATCTCTGGGTCACTTCGAGGGTGATCTGTTTCCGGCCCACCCCCAAAACCTATGTATCTGCCTGGCTGTGCCCACTGGGCCCAGCAGTCCCTGCACAGGCCAGGAAATGGGCAGGGCGGGGTGGGGGCACTGAAGTCAGAGACCTGGTAAGGAAGAGGTGGCCAGGCTCCCTCCAACTTCCTCATCTGTCTCCCGGCTTGCAGCTGTGAAGAGGGGTTTCTCCTGGTGATGCAGCGTGGACACGGGTGCGGCTGGGCCCCTGCGTGCTCTTCCCTGCTGTGCCCTTTGAAGCAGAGGCTACCCGGGAAGCTCAGGAGAGCATGAGCCCTGACCCCAGTCCTTCCCCAGACAGCCCTGCCCCTTCCCAGAGCAGGCCCCACCCCTTTCCTAAGACAGGCCCGCCCCCTCCCCAGAGCAGGCCCCACCCCTTTCCTAGGACGGGCCCCTCCCCTTCCCCAGAGCAGGCCCCACCCCTTTCTGAGAGGAGGCCCCGCCCCTTCCCCAGAGCAGACCCCACCCCTTTCCTAGGAGAGGCCCCGCCCCTCCTGCCCACTCAGGATCTTCATTTTGGGTTCTCTTGTGTCCAAAACTCCAGTGCAGGTGTTGTGGGCTGGGAAGGAGCTGCCCCATCAGGTGGAGGTAGGGTTGGTGCCAATGGAGGGGCAGGGAGACGCAGGGGCTCCCTTACCACCATGTCCAGTCACTGTGCAGCCCCTGACTTTATCCCCAGTGGCCTCCTCTTCCTCACATAGCTCATGCCCCCAGCTAGGTCCTCCTGGGTCTCCCTAGGGGTGACCTGGGGCAGGGGCTGCCTGGCCTGTTTCCCTGGGCTCCCCACAGTGGGCTAAGCCCACAGCAGAGGAGATAGGGAGCCAGTCAGCCAGGTGGGCAGCCCGCTACCCCCTTGGAGTAGCTGGAAGGGTTGGGACCACGTTCTCTCATTCTCTGGAAGAAGCTGGCTGTTCCCACAGCGGCCTCCCTGTTTCTGGGAGCAGACGGAAGGCCCAGCGTGCGCTCCTCCTTTCCCCCAACGTGAGACTTGCTATTGTTCCCTTGGCTGAAACAAGCCATGCGCCTGGCTGTCAGGTGCTCCGGGCTGTGCCAGCAAACCAGAAACCAGGGGCTGAAAGCCACAGGAAAGCTCTATCCCACAGTTCCAGAGGCCGGAGTCTGAGGCGAAGGCGTGGCAGTGCCACACGGCCGCTCAGGCTAGGGGAGGATGCTTTCCGCCCTTCCAGCTGCAGGTGGCTCTGGGCATTCCTTGGCTTGTGGCTGCGTCGCCCACACCCTGCCTCCGTATCCGTGGGGGCTTCTCCCGGGTATTTCTCCCTTTGCATCTCTTCTAAGGACACTGGTCATTGGATTTAGGGCCCACCCGATAATCCAGGCTGATCTCGTGAGGTCCACAATTTAATCATATCTGCAGAGACCTTTTTTCTTTTTCTTTCTTTGGAGACAGATTCTTGCTCTGCCACCCGGGCTGGAGTGCAGTGGTGTGATCTCGGCTCACTGCAACCTCCGCCTCCCCAGTTCAAGCAGTTCTCCTGCCTCAGCCTCCTGAGTAGCTGGGATTATAGGCATGCGCTACCATGCCTAGCTAATTTTGTATTTTTAGTAGAGATGAAATTTCACCATGTTGGCTAGGCTGGTCTCAACTCCTGACCTCAGATGATCTGCCTGCCTCGGCCTCCCAAAATGCTGGGATTATAGGCGTGAGCCACTGCACCTGGCCGCGAGTCTTGGTGGCTCACGGCAGCAGGGTTCTGTCTGGTTCATGCTCCGTTTGTGGCTGCGTGACTGGTGCCCTCCTCCACATCCGGTCACTCTAGGGCCTAGGCTGCGGGAGCAGCTTTCGCCTCCGTGGTCACAGTGTGGGGACGGGAGACCGAGGGTCGTGCCCATGTCTGAGTCCCCTGGGAGGTTCTGGCTCCGCTCAGACGCTAGGTCCCTGGGGCTGCAGTACCACCACCAGGCAGGAGAGGGTGCCAGAGACGTGTGGAGGATTTAACAACGGACGGCGCTCAGGTGCAGACAGATGTCTGATGGGAGTCGACAGCGTGTCTCAACCTGCTATTATAAAAAAAGCAAGCCCAGACGAGAAGGACGCCGTCTCAACCTGTTTAGGAATGTCTGCCCAGAAACTGAAGCACACATCGGACCCCTTGCTGGGACTTGGGAATCACTCCCACAGAAGCCAGGGGACACGGGAGATGTTGGCCACGGCTGTGCCTTCCTTCTATGGGGGTGCTGGAGGCTTCCCCAAGGCTGTGAGACAAGAGCAAGAAGAAATGAAGACCAGCATTGGGAGACAAAACCATCCTGATTAGTTTCATTTTTATTTATTTTTTGTAGAGACAGGGTTTTGCTATGTTGCCCAGACTGGCCTTGAATGCCTGGGCTCAAGTGATCCGCCTGCCTCAGCCTCCCAAAGTGCTGGGATTACAGGTGTGAGCCCTTACAGGGATTCCCAAAGTGCTGGGATTACAGGTGTGAGCCCTTACAGGGATTCCCAAAGTGCTGGGATTACAGTGTGAGCCCTTACAGGTGTTTACCTGGCCCTTATTTCATATAATATGATTATCAAGATGTAAAAGCCAGCTGGCGGGGCGCAGTGGTTCACGTCTGTATTCCCAGCGCTGTGGGAGGCTGAGGCTGGCAGATCACCTGAGGTTGGGAGTTCAAGACCAGCCTGGCCAACACAGTGAAACCTCATCTCTACTAAAAATATAAAAATTACCCAAGTATGGTGGGACACTTGTAATCCTAGGTACTCAGGAGACTGAGGCAGGAGAATGGCTTGAACCTGGGAGCGGAGGTTACAGTGAGCCGAGATCACACCACTGCACTCCAGCCTGGGTGTCAGAGCAAGATTCTGTCTCAAAAACAAACAAACAACAACAACAACAAAATGAAGATGTAAAAGCCAAGAGAATTTTTGACTTTAGTGTTTGAACTAATGAGAGGGTTCTGTAATATTGTTGGAGACGAGGTTGATGAAGGAAGAACAATAGCATATGTTTACACCAGTAGAAACCAAGTTGAAATATAATAGAAAAATACCTCATTAACAGCGGCCTCAAAACCTACAAAGATTCCTATGTAGAAAACGTCAGATGGAAGGTGTCCAGGCCATTACAACATTGCAAAGGGCATAAAAGAAGACTTGACTG